TATTCTGGAGTGGAGAAACTTGGAACATGAAAACACTTTTTAAGAAGTGTGCCACAAGAAAATTATTAGCATGGCAACGAAAATTTGCATTTACACAAATTTCTGTCCGTAATACTACTAAAGGTATGTTTCCCCTAATAATGCATTTAATGGAATATAGAAAATGCTTATTTGTAATAATATCATTCACTTATTGTTATATCTTCTATTTATACAACAAATATTATACTCTGTATATATATATATATGATTATTATTAGTACTTTACCTTTGTTGGTGCTATGCTATTATTATTACTTCTACTATTATGAATGTACATGCATTTTGCAGAAAATGATCGTAGCAACACTACATCATGGCCACTTTCGCCTTTCAGTAGTGATAACATGTCCTGTAGAATTCCACTCCATGAGATAGCAAACGCTTCACACTATAACACTTTAATTACAAGTTTAAAAATATATTATCAATACGATCAATGATTACATGGCTTATTTTATAACATTTACATGGATCACTTTGCATAAAAAAGGACCTCAACATTTCAATGACATTGAATATCAACACTTAAGAAAAAAACCAATAACCAAGAGGACCCAAATGTAACATCGGTGTCCAATGATAGTGTAAAAATGATGAAGCTTGGTGTTGGGAATTTTATTTTGAGAGGTATGATATAAATGGTGAAGCTTGGTGTTGAGAAGTTTATTTTGGGAAGGACCGCTTGATAGGAACTCCTGTCTGGCCAATGCCATTTCAGGCTTTTCGTGGAATTTTTTGATAATTTTTTTATCATGTTTTTCATGAAATTTAGTTTATTCACACAAAACATCATATTAAAACTCGATCAGAAAGTCAATTAAATAAATTTGTGAAACATATTGCGCTTTATATATACATAAAGCACATTATGTTTAAAAATTTATTGAACTGACTTCCAGATTGAATTTAAACTGAATTTTAAGGAGGTAATCCACACTTGATGAAAAATACGCTCATAAAATTTTATCAAAAAGTTCAACCGAGAAAAGCCCCAAATGCCCTTGATCGGAAGGTGATTTCTGTGTGGATCGTCTGAGAAGATTATTTCTCAAGATTATAATCAAAGCGAAGCTTATCATATGGGATCAAGCTCCAATGACAAACAAACATTATTTTGAAGCTGTAGACAGGACACTAAAAGATTTGCTTAGATTTCACAATCCCGATAGCTTGAAACTTCCGTTTGGAGGGAAAGCTGTCGTTTTTTGTGGTGATTTCAGGCAAATACTCCCAATCATACCAAAGGCTTCTAGGCAAGAGGCTGTTCGTGCTACTATTAATGCCTCATATATTTGGAGACATTGTCAACTTCTCACTTTAACAGAAAACATGAGGCTGCAGTGTGGTTCTTCACATTGTAATATTGAGGAATTGAAAAGATTCTCAGATTTGGTGCTCAAAATAGGAGATGGAAATATTGGGACTGCCGAAGATGGAGAGGTCGCCTTTGATATACCTGATGATATGCTTATTACCACCTCAGGTGATCCTATTGCCTCAATATTTGCTAGCACTTATCCGTCATTTCTGGAAAATATGACCGATCCATCATATTTTCAGCAAAGAGCTATTTTGACACCCACAAATGATGTTGTAGAGCTTATAAATAAGTATATGATTTCATTGATACATGGAGAAATGAGGACATATTTGAGTTTTGACAGCCCATGCTCGCTTGAACGAAACATTGGCACTGAATCTGATGAAGTGCATAGTCAAGAGTTTCTGAACACCATCAATGCATCAGGAATACCGAAGCATAAATTGGGACTAAAGGTTGGTGTTCCCATTATGTTAATGAGAAACATTGACCAGTCATCTGGCTTATGCAACTGAACTCGCCTGATTATTATTCGGTTAGGTAAATTTGTTTTGGAGGTGAAGGTTATAACCGGAAAAAGTATTGGTCAAAAGGTTTTGATTCCACGACTATCACTGGTCCCGTCAGATAGCAGAATTCCTTTCAACATTAAGCGCAAGCAATTTCCAATAATTGTTTCATTTGCCATGACGATAAACAAAAGTCAAGAACAATCTTTGGATCAAGTTCCAAAATATGTCTTTATGCACGATCAATTGTACATAGCCATGTCAAGGGTTACCTCAAGGAGTGAGTTGAAGATTCTTATATGTGATGACGAGGGCTGCGCTATCAACAACACGAATAATGTGGTATATAAAGAAGTTTTTCAAAATTTGCGAAACTTTTTTGTCATTGTCAATATATATGACTGTTGCTCTATCTTATAAATTTTAATGAGACATAGAGCTCATTGATTTTTCACGTAGAACTTATGGTTACACATTATCATTTATTTTAATTTTCTTTTCATTTTTTCATACGGTTCAAATTTTCTTACTACTACAACTATGTATATAATAAAAGTTACAACATATAAACTCTACGTAGTATTTTTTTATTTGTCAAAACTAACAAAAAATGTACCATGATAAAACATAATTTTAAATAAGTTATTATCCAATTCTAGATACACCCCGTGCATCGCACGGGTACTTTGTCTAGGTAAAGATAAAGAAGAAGAAAGCATACAACTATAAAATACAAAAAACAATTGAAAAGGGAAGTAGATGTGCAACACGTTTTGAAGTAGAAAAGAAAAGGGACCCTAATTACTACTTTTATTGTTACAAATAATTACAATTGTTCCAAAAGATGGAATCTCCCACCCCAGGAGCCCCCCCACCCCGACCCGACAGGATGGTGGGGAGGTTAGTCACGGTGACTCAGTCAGCAGAATGGCAGTAGACCCATACACCCGTGCGCACCAGAGGCCCAGCCTTACTTCAGATTCTGTGACCTCCACCCGGTCGCTGAGGGGATTCGAACCTTGGTCCATTGTTCCAAATCTCCCACCACTCGACCAACTGAGCTACCCGTGTGAGTTGTTACAAATAATTACAAAAAAAATATAGGTGTACCATGCATATGGTACACTCGATACTGTACCGTAAAATTTTCTTCAAACGTATGTGCACATACAAATGTGTACATGTATTTGTGTATATATGTAAACATACAAATACATATGGAATATATATTATGGAGTATTATTATTTGATAATATAATGTACAAATATTAATATTAGTACATTGAGACATTAATACATACATTAACTATTATTTGATACAATCACTACTAATATTATTTTTTAAGTATTATATTATATATACACAAATTCATTTATTTTTTGTATTAATATTTCAAATATGATTATATTTAGTAGTTGGCCCCTAGTTCCGTCCCTATTTGGGTGTCTCAAAGAATATTTCATTTTGTAATTCAAACAGCTAATTTGTAATTATGCTCATTTCTGTTTCTTCAATCACACAACTCTAACATTACTTCGACACAAACTTCAATCAAACAACTATAACATTTCTTATTACTCACATAATGTGAATTTGCCAATTCCACATGGACGGAGGTAATGTAACTTACGATTATGATGACAAATATTTTTTTAGTTTTTTTATAGGAAGATCGGCTTATATTAGAATACCAGCAAAATCACAAATATCATCTAACTTGGAGAAAACAGACAAGCTACAAAGATAAAAAACCATAGTTCGATCATATACCATTGAACAAGACTTAGAATCAGCCACCTCAAAAGAAGTCACCTGATTCGCTAATCCCCACTTGGACAATTGTAAGCCAATTATGATCGGTCTAGATTCCCAACCGATCCAGCTGATTTTGGTATTACAAAACATGCTCAAAATAAATTACCCTTTAAGAAATACTCCCTCCGTCCCTCAATACTTTGCCAAGTTTGACCGACACGGGGATTAATAAAGTAAAAACTGTGTGGTTGAGGTTTGTACAAAGGAGAGAGAATTAACTGGAACTATAAATTCTTTACTTAAATGGGAAAGTGGAAAAGTTAGTGGAAAATCTAAAAAATGAAAGTTGACAAAGTTATAAGGGACGGAGGGAGTAGGATCGAAAGCCCTAAGACTACTTGTAATGTAAAGGTTTTAGGTAGACCTGCACAATACCGGCCCGGCCCGCCTGGCCTGCCCATATAAATGGGCAGGTTTGGACACATGCTTTAGCCCACCGGGTCGGGCCCGGCCCGGCCCGTTTAAAATATGGGCGGGCTTGGGTTGTAATATAGGCCCGGTCGGTCCTAAAAACCCGGCCCGTAAACATATTATAGATATTATATTACGTATATTATTCTATATATAATTATACAGTATATGACTATATGTATAAAACTTAAAATACTTGGAAGTATTAAGGTTTGAACTGTAATGATATACATTTGTTAAGTCTTTTTGGAGATATTCTTGACTATTTCCGCTGCACATTGTGAATAAGTGATTGTGCTTTTAATTATGGAATATGGATGCTTATTTGGAATTTGGATGCTTTTTGTTTTCCAGAATCGTTTTGTGTATTGCATTTAAACGTATTCTTGTGTTCAAAATGTGTTGTGAGTACATTAATTATTTAATTGCATTTAAAATATTGTGATGTTATTTTATAAATGTTTTCATTTTTTTTAACAGAGTTGACAAAAGGATATTTTCCGGGCCCAAAAGCCCGGTGGACATCCCGGCCTGCTCTCATGGGCGGGCTTGGACATATGAGGAGGTCCGTTTTACCGGGCCGGGCCGAACCCGCCCACTACAAATGGGCAGATTTTTTAGAATAAGCCCGGCCCGAGCCCGTATTTGTGCAGGTCTAGACTTTTAGGACCCAAAAAGCTAAATTGAAACTTTTGGACTCTTAGATCCTATTCGAGGAGTAAGAAGGGTATTAAAAATTTAAGTGTCTTTAAAAATAGAGAGTATAGATATGGAAAAAAGAGAAAGAAATTGACTTAGCGTCCCATGTTCTTGAGCGATTTGCCCATTTGGACTTTGCACCTCATGTTCAAAATCATTATTTTCGATATCCATTAACCCATAAATTATAATGGAGTGAAGTGTAATATCAAATGATTTTAAAGCCAAATACTACCCAACAAATGAAGTGTAAAATCCGATTCTTCCGAAAAAGGAAAAAGTGGTTTAGCTATAAAACATTTCCACATTTTGATTATGTGCATGGGGTTAAGAAGAAACAGCAGCAGCCTCATCACCCGAGTTTACAAAACGCCCAACCTAAACAAAACTCCTTCGGGCTCTCCTGGAGCGGGCTTACCCATCCTAACCCCTAAAGCCGTACTTCTTTTTCCTCTTCTATACACAATTAATTAATTAATTATACCCTCCCAAGATATTCCTAATAAAACTGGGGTTAGACTAATGCTTACTAGGTCAAACTATGGATGACGCCATAGCCATGGAGAAGGTCAATTCTCCACCGCAGAATGGTGGGACCCACCCTGGCGGAAACATGTGGAGCGCAAAAGGCCGGACAGAGAAGCAAAAACTTTTTGATTCTTTTGCTTCAGGTCTTTTCTGTAAGCTTTGCCAATATCTTGAGCTATTCTGAGGGCATCAACTGAGGCACCAGAAAGCCCTCTCCTTGTGAACCCAATTGCGTATAGCCCTGACTTGCCCTTCCACCCATTTGGGAATGGTGTCTTTGGGAATCCATTCTTGCAGAAAAAGTCTGATTCCTATAAACAGAAACAACATTTTTGAATCATCATTAGTTTTTTTTATCAAATTAACTTTGGGTCTTGTTCACCCAAAACATCTTTAAAAGGTTCGGTTAAGATTGTTTTTACTTTGGACAGATTCCAACATCAAGTCAGATCATACCAGACTAGATTTAGACGGTTATAAAATACATAAAGACCAAACATTCATCTGAATAAGTTCAGAACAAACCGGATATTAAAAACATCCTTACCCCACACTTATATATATGGTAAACATAATTCTTGTAAACAAATATGTTACTTTATCATATCCTGATACCATTTTATGTTTACCTCATAATTATATATTGCACACACTTGGGAGATTAAACTATGTATCTTTCTTTATATTTGATCAATATGTACACATTGTCTCACCTGAAGCCAGTAAGGGACATTGCTGCGGTATCCGGTTGCCAGAACGATAGAGTCGACTTCAAGGCTTTCACCATTGACAAGCTCGACGGCATGGGGCAATAACTTTTTTATTCCCGGGACAACATTAACTTTTCCAGATCTGATCTTCTCAAGTGTGCCAATGTCAAGAACAGGGGTTTTCCCTTGTGTGTTCTTGAGTTCCAATGGGCCAGCTGACGGCCGATTTAGCCCGAATTTCCCAATATTTCCAAGAATTAGCCATGCCAGCACAAGCAGGATCTTGTCTACTATCCACATTGGCAGCCATCTCATGATCAACACAGCTAATTCAAATGTCGATTTCCCCAGAATTTCTCTTGGCAATACATGGACCTGAACAGAGTAAAGCAGAGCAAGTCTTATTATCACAAGCTCAAAAATTCAACCGTTGGATTGTTTTTTTGCTCATTAAAACCTAGTATCGTTATTATACATAAACAATATTAATACAGAAAATGATATGGATTAATAAAATGCATCTAAAAGTTCTTAGTCTCATTTCTATAAATTACAGAAAATTAAAGCTCACTTTTTTACTCAAACAGGCTTAACTTCCCATTTGAGCATTATTGAGCTATTCAAGAGGAATCTTCTATCAATAGAAATTAAAAAAACACATATTTCATTCGGTAGGTCCTTCTTGTACCAGCTGGGTTACACACTTAAATATAATTGTCTATACACGTGTAATTGTTTATGTACAGATAATTGATATTAATTTTAATAAACGAAAGTGTGTTTGACTCCAAAAAATGAATTGTGTATACACAAGACACTAGACCACATTCCGGATCACATACACTTGTTTTTACTAAAATGAAAATCTGTGTACAAACAATTACACAGAGACATGTAAACTGAAGTTTAATCCAACATGTACGAGTGCCATTTTCTATTAAATTAAAGAAGAATATCATGTTCTCTTTAGTACTCCCTCCGTCCTGGAATTATCTACTTACTTTCCTTTTAGTTCTGTCCCAAATTTATCTAATCTTTCCCTTTTTAGGAAAGAATTTGTGGTTCACAACCATTCTTACACATTCTTACACATTTCTCACTATCTTGTGAAGATAAATATGAGATTAATATCCGTAACATTGTGATAATTTCTTTGATTTAAAATACTTACCGAGCTCCGGCACACAATGGAGGGTTTAGCATCATGGTTGCAGAGATCGAGGGAGACTTCCATGCCGGAATTACCACAGCCGACGACCAGAACTTTTTTCCCGCGGAAATCTTCGCCGGACTTGTAATCGCAGACGTGGACGACTTCGCCGTCGAACTTCGCTAACCCATCTATCTCCGGCACTACCGGCTCCGCATTCTCTCCGGTGGCGACGACGAGCCACTGACAGATGTACTCAACCTCGGCGCCGGCGAGAGAGGCAGTCTTGACCCGCCACACGCTGCAAGCGTCGTCGAACGTCGCTGACGTCACACACTCGTTGAACAGAGGATTAATGCCGAAGTGATTGGCGTAGGATTCGAGGTAATCTATGAACTGTTTCTTGGTCGGGTACTCCGGGTAGTTTTTCGGGAAAGGGTATTTGGGGAGCTGACAGAACTGCTTGGGAAGATGGAGTTTCAGGCGGTCGTAGGTCCGTTTCTGCCATAAAGAAGCAATGCAGTCGGCTCTCTCCAAGATCACGAAGGGCACTCCCTGTTCTTTCAGGCAGGCTCCGACGGCGAGCCCGGAAGGCCCCGCGCCGACGATGACCGGCCCGTTCACCCAAACACACCGGCGGGAGAAGAAATCTTGGTCGTCCGATGAGACGCTAAAGTTGAACATTTTTGCTCTCAATTTCCTAGATTTAGTAAATGCTTTTTGGAGATCGAGAATTTTGAAGGAATTTGATTGAATGGAGGAGAGGCAAGGAATGGGTGTATACATATATTGATACGTGTGTGTATATATATACTATGTGTAGTAATATGCAGAGAGGGGGGACTGTGAGAGCATTAGAAGCGCCAGCCATGTGAGTACAGTGGAGCAGGTGACGGTTAATGCCTGCAGACGGGACCACCAAATATCTAATCATCATCAAAAACATAAAGCTAAAAGCCTAAAACCCCAATCTATCATAAATCTCCCTCCATATATAACCAAAAATAATAAAATAAAAAATGGGGAGTAAATGGTTATATTTAGAGTACATTTGGTTACACTCAAATTGGTTCTATCGGTTGATTCCGTAAAAATTTATAAAGTTTTCGCTGAAGTGATTTGATTCATTGATTCTGTTGATTTATGAAAAAATTATATATAAAATATTTTTTATTAATAAAAGAAGAGAAAATTATATGGAAAATAGCTAAAATGATCCTTTAAAGTAACTTGCACAATTCAACGGCAAAATCAAAAGTTACGTATTTTGTGAAAAAGCTGACTGATAAGTCTGATAAGTCAAAAAAATAATGTCACCAAACGAGGATTGTTAGTTAAGAAGAAATAAAAAGTAGAAATAACATAAGGAACTTTGTTTACCAAATAAGGAAAGATAATTTTTTTAGGGACGGAACAATAAAAAAAGTGAGAAGTTTAAAAAAAAAGAAAGTGAGATGTTTACTTAGGGAGGGAGCAAGTTTTTTTTGGAGGGAGCAAGTAATAATTCATAACAAAGTTAACAAAGTTATAAGAGAAAGATGACGTATATCTCGATCTCATGAGGCTTAAGAACCCTTTCTAACATGGGATTATTCCCTATACACTACTAAATTAAGGTTGATTTCAAAATATGTGACTACTTTTACATTTTAAAAAAAATATGATTAAAAGAAAGTGACAACCAAATATTCATGTTTCTATCCATTTTTCATTTCACTATCGCATGTCACTGTCGCCGTCGCCGGCCATAGCGACAACCCCGTAGTGACATTTTGTAGTAATATCGCTGCCCAAACTCTTGCCACAATGACATCTCCGCCGTGTGGCCACCGCCGCTGACGACCACAGTGACACAAATTTACTCCGACCATCGATCTCCGGTCAGTCACCATCGCCTCCCCAGCGGGTAACTGAATTTTACGGTTACCGACCACCACTGGAAACTACCACCATCGGCCACTGGCGGCAGCCACAACCTCCGGCGGCCACCACCTCCGACCAACGCCTGCAACCATCGTGGTCAACCATCGCCTCAAGTTTCCAGAGGGCTCCCGTATTCACCCAGTGTTTCACGTGTCACTTTTGAAACCACACATTGGCGCTGGTGACCTTGTTTCAGTGGAATTGCCGCCCATGTGAGAGGATGGTCTTTTATGTTTGGAACCAGCACATGCAGTGGCCACACGGCAAGTCAAGCAGGGCACACGTACTGTTACAGAGGTATTAATTCAGTGGAAGAACTTACCCATTGAAGATGCCACTTGGGAAGAGTTGCAGCATCTCAAGTTGAGCTTTCCGCACTTTCACGTGAACCTTGAGGACAAGGTTCTTTTGGGGCGCAGGAGTATTGATGGGTTATCCGAGCAGCAGCAGAAAGATGTTAATAAAGATGCTGAGGTGGCAAAAAGAAGATCCACAAGGCCACCTAAACCAAATAAAAAATACCTCGTTTGAATAAATATTTTTCTCTATTTTTAATTGTAAATAAAGAACTGGTCTTCCTGATCTTTAGGAAAGGCTGTTCTCCACTTTCCCTGCATTTTAGGAGTCCATGACTCCACTTCGTTGCTATTTGTTTACGCATGTACTTTGCTTATATATCTGAATGAAAACATCAAAAATAGGTAGTGAAAACTATCAACAAAAATCCTTGTGTTCTGTGTTCAATCGGTTAGCTTTGAGAGACCAAGCTATCAATGAAATAGCAGAAGGAGGAATGAAATCGCAAAGCTTCTCGAGTCGCCAATGGATTCCAGGATTCACTCGTCGTCCATTGAAGCCATCTCTTAAGCATCGTCCGTCATTTTCCGCATAAGTCTTTTCCGTCATTGCTGTAGAACTGCGATGTGTCTTCCATAGTTGGCCACCGAGCTCGCCGAAGTGGCGAATCGTCTAGACTTGAGCATATTTGGAGCACACACGACGGAAGAACAAAGCTTGTGGAGCAGATCTTGTAACACCGTCCCCAAATGTATTTACCAACGAATAATTTATTGAACCTTATGAAGTTTTAGTGAATGTACGAAGTGGTGAATTTGTATTATATGTTTTTTCGCGTGAATAGTAAAACGCACGTGGGGCCCACATCGGGAGTGGGGACCGCCCGATATTATCGGGGCCACATATTATATTGATCTTGGACTAGATAATACGTATATGGTGGTGGATATCCTAGTTGAGCCATGACAATGGCATAGGGTTGACCGGTTGGTCAAACGGGGCCAAATTATCAGTATCGGCAATCTATCAGATAACAGCCCGAAAAGGGATTTCGGAGACTTCTAAATTAAAATTGAGGGATGCATATTGATTCTAAGGTCCATTAATATTGGGGACAAGTGTTATATTTTATTTGACACGATAAAATAAAATATACTTAAAACAGTCCGGAAAAATACAACTTTCGGGACAAATTACACACTTTGGGACAAATTAGGATGACCTCCCACTTGGGTGGGGGCCACCCTACGAAATTGTCAACCCTTGAGGGCTGGATGAGTGCCAAATTGGCTGAACAACTATTGAGAGGATGGGGGAGATACCTTTGACATGTTGTAGACCCCCTCCCTTCACTCATTTGTCTAAATGAGACAAAAACCACCCCTCTCACCTCACCATCTCCACCCACACCATTCAGCACCCTAGGATAGCAAGGAGAGACTCTGAAACTTCTCATCTCCATAGCCCAAATCCGAACTCAAGCTCAAGGGAGTCCAAGAAGGAAGTTTAAGAAGGAAAAAGGCTAGGAAAAAGTGTGAAAATTAAGGTAATGACCTTATCATAACTTTTCCTTTGTTTTTCTTCTAGCATATAAGATATATATCATATGAAAGGCCTTTAGTGTTGTTCTACATGATTTAAGTGTGGAATAATGGGTTGGAAAGTGATTCTAAGTCCAAAAACGGACTTAGAAGCCAAATCGACCGGTTTGCCGGAAAATAACCTTTTATAGGTTATTTGTGTTGATATGGGTTTTGTGATGATAAAACCTTGTTAGGAACTTGATTTAAAGTATTTTTGAGCCTCGCCGGAGTTTCGTCGGAGTTGGTCAAGGTTCGCCGGAGTTGGTCAAAGTTCGCCGGAGTTGGTCAAAGTTCAATCAAGAAAACGTAGAACGCGCTTAAGCTTAATTAAGGTGAGGATGACCGACTATGTTACTTATAATCTTTGGGTTAATTTCCTAAGTGAATACAAATGTGATGTGTATGAGTTGTTAATGGTTACTAATGCCTAAATGAAACTACTATTGATCATAAGTATAGTATGCATGATACACAAATTTATGAATAAATTGTGTATGTTTAGATGCTATGAATATGTGTGTATGATGGTTGTACCAACCATGAATATCATTTGAGATAGTATACTTTGATGCCATGAGGAGAAGCTATGAGGGTATGAAAGTGATACTTGATATTAAGGCCAATTGGGCAAGAAAAAAGAATTATATTGAAATAAATAAATAACTAGCATTGAAATATTAGTTGGAAATGTTAGTTGAGAAATGGATGAATTAGATCCTAAGAATTTGAACTATAAAGAATCGGTGATTATGAGCCGGGCTCAAGACCGATGTAGATAACGGTGATTATGAGCTGGGCTCTAGACCGTAGTAGATGACGGTGATTATGAGCTGAGCTCTAGACCGTAGTAGATGTCGGTGATTATGAGCTGGGCTCTAGACCGTGGTAGATGACGGTGATTATGAGCGGGGCTCTAGACCGTAGTAGATAACGGTGATTATGAGCTGGGCTCTAGACCGTGGTAAATAATGATGAATTGATATTAAATGAACGGATTAACTATAATGTAATAATGCTCTAGTTTGAGGGCCTCGGAGATTTAAACTTTGATTATACTTAGTATAGTTGTCATTGTACTTGTCAAATGCTTCCAAGTACTGACCTCCCCTTCACGGGGGAGGCCACCTCACAGTTTCAGGTAGAACTTGAAGGTTGCTACCACCCGCCGCTGCTTCGGGAAGTTTCTGAGGAGAAGACTTGGTTCGTGCTTCTCCCGTTCTTGTTTTGAAAAAAAAAACAATATGAATAATGCTCATGGATAATATTTTCTGAATAATTACTTTGGGGGCTTGCATGCCTAATTATGCCAATTGTGGCTTGAACACTTGTATCAATTGTTTCCGCTGCTTTAATAAATGTTTTACATTATGTTTGTTATGGATGTACTATGTGTGAATGGTATTCAAGACGCCTTGTATAGTATGGATGAGTCAGACTGCGGTTGACTATTCGTACTGTACGGCGGGTTGTTGACGTGTCCGGGTAGGTCCGGGGCGTGACAGATCTTGAGCGGGCGGCGTCTGCTGCTGTATGCGGCAAGCTTTGCTATCTTCGGCGGAGCTGGTGGATGCACAGATCTGGGAGAGGGAAGAAGATATGTGATGCGAATGCGCAGAGCTGGTAGTTCTCGCATGAAGATGCGCAGAGCAGGCGTCCTATCTCATTCTCACGCGGAAGACTGGAGGGAGGGAGTCACTTTTTTGGGAAAACGTAAAGTGGTCATATTTTTGGAATTAGAAACTCAGGGAGTAATATTAGTGCCATTTTTTATTATAATACTGATAGCCTATTTGGAAGCATTGAAATTGATTGAATTGACTGAATCTGTTTAAATTATTGAAATGTTGGCTGAATCGGTTGAACTAACTAATCTGTTGATATATAGAAAAATTATATCTTAAATATACTTTATTAATAAAATAAAGAAAAAATTATATGAAAAATTGTTAAAAGGATCATGGGAAAGTTATCCAAATATGAGTAAACATGTTTTATTATTTCGAAATATGACTATTATATTTCTTTCCAAAATAGAGTAATATGACAATATTTACGACTATCTTGGAGTCATTATTGTCAAAACAATTGCAGTACTATGCATTAACATGCCATTATTTATTGACATTAATGACATTATTTTTCAATAATGCCTCTAACGACTCCTGTTTCTGAAACAAAAATATAGCAGTCGTATTTTGAAATTCCAAAACCCGTTTACTCATATTTAGCACAATTTCCCAATGACTCATCTACAATTACTTCATCCAATTCAGTTAGAAAAGTTAATTGATACGGCTAATATGCTGAAAATAGAGAATACCAAGCGTGCTCTAAAACTGACTGAATTGATTAAAGTTGTTGAAGTTGATGAAGTTCTGCTTAAAGTGGTTAAAACAACTAAATTTATTGAAGTATAAAAATTTTATATTTAAAGTATATTTTACTAATAAATTAAAGAACAAATTATACTTCTTCTGTCCCTATTTAATCTTCACGCTTTCATTTTTTGGAAGTCCCTTAAAGAAGACATCTTTTCTTATTTGGTAAGCCAAACAGTGCAAAATAATGTCCAAACAGTGAGTATAAGCAAATTTTGTTTAGGTAGCTCTATATGAGGAAGTAGAGTTGTTTTGTAAACTCTCATGATTATATTGCTAATTTAATAAGGCATAGTGGCTAAATGAGTGTCATGAACTTCACCAAATACACTAAGCAAGTAAGTTCATTATCATGAACGCGCTAAGCATGCCACCAGGTGTAATCACCGAAGACAAAGATTTGGGGGGTCCTCGGAGATGGAGTGTCATCCTTTTTTGAAGATAAAGATTTTACATTCATTTAAGAGTCACGATTGATGCCAAATGGTGTAAAAAACTACACTTCTGATGCATTTAAAGTCTTAGATAGTTAAGTGTCATCATTGAGCCCATCATGGTGTGAACAAACCTCACTTTGTAGCCAATTATACTTTTGGATCGTTAAGTGTCAAAATTAGTCCAAATGGTGTAGCAAACTTGAGATGTGAGTAATTTTAACTCCCATACATTTTAAGTGTCATCACTTAGCACAATTGGGCCTCAGAAACTTCAGTTCTGAGCCATTTAACTTCTCTGGCAATTAAGTGTGATCGTTGAGCCCAAACAATTTAGTAATGACACACTTTACACTTTAGTTCACCAAACGGGTTCTGACATACGTGTGAAGTCATGATACAGTACAAACACACTCTCAATGTTAACTACAGATTTAGGATAATGCTTAAGTCATCATTGACCTTGATCAACTTTGGTGAGGTCTCAACAATTGTATTGCCCTCATAAACCTTAGTCAATGCACATCTTCAAACATAATACAATCAGACCAGTGTTATAAGGTCAGGGCCGATCCTAAGAGTTTTTTAGTCTGAGTCGAACTGTAAAAAAATGTCCTTAGAATTTTTTCGGGAGGAAAGTTCATGTTCGGAATTCCTGACAGGAACTGTCGGCCGGACATCGGTGTTTGGACGCCTTGCCGGTGGATTTTTTTGTTAAAATATTTTAGCTCATGTTCCTCATCAAGTCTAGTTTATTCACAAAAAAAGTCATCTAAAAATTCAATCGGGAAGGTCGTCAAATGGTATTTGGAAGATAACTACACCAAAATATACATATAAAACGCAGTTAACTTCCAAAATTTATTTGAAAGCCTTTCCGATTGAATTTTAAGCTGAAATATTTTTTGGATAAACTATACTTGATGAGGAACATTCTATAAAAAGTTCATCAAAAAATTCCACAGGGAAAGTAGCCAAACGTTACCGTCCTAATGACGATTCCTGTCCAGAATTCTGGACATGAACTTTCCTCTATATAAAGGTAACTAATAATAAATTTCTGGGGCCTAATTTTTTCACCAAATTTGTGGGCCTGAGGCTGTTGCCTCTTTGCCTCATCTAGAGGTTCGGCCCTGTATAAGGTTACACATCACACACAACCTATCATTTCACCACTTACATGTAGATCCATAAGTAAATAGATCGATAAGTAAACACACATATAGAACTCCACATATTTATTCTCCTGCACAAAGTAAATAATGAATAATGCATATTTATTCATCATTAGTTAGTCCTACATGAAACAATCTCATTAGTCAAATGGATTTATGAGGAAATGTAACACATAAGTGCAGGATATTATGAGAAATTGAGATATGTTAAAGCTTATTAAATGTATTACTAAATGTATATTACTTAAGCCCATTAATGTATATGTTTAGGGCTTCAGTCTTGTAGCCCGTGCGGCAATTCTTGTATATTTAAATCCTTACGTATGGAATATAAATGTATGGGAAATTAACCCTAAACACTTTGTCATGGTATCAGAGCCTCACTATTGGTGAACCAATTTACCCGACTCCATTTTTTTCGCTGAAACGTGAAGTTCTCTCCCAGTAGCCGTACCAGTGTCATGGTTGGCAGAGCATCATGTCAGGTGAAGATAGAATCGACGTTGTGTCACCCACGTTGTTCTAACCGGCGAAAATTATGTGGCATGGGCCAAGGCGATTCAGCTCTCGTTGAAGGCAGGACGAAAGTTTCTGTTTGTTGACGGAACTATAAAAAAGCCGACCGAAGTTCGTAAACTCCTCAATTAGGAGACGATCTCATGCACTGCAAAATGAAAGGGCATGAGATCGGGAATTGCTTCAAATTGTATGGTTACCCGGAATGGTGGGCGGATCGTAATCAAGGAGGGAAGAACCAGCAACCTAATCGTGGACTTTCATCTGCCTCGCATGTCCTTCCACGGGGCAGAAAAACAGCACATGATGACGCCAAAGCAAAGGAGGATGTGTTGACCCAACTTAAACCTGAGCAGGTGAAGGCTCTTATAAACATGCTGAATACAGGTGCCACAAGTGTAGCCTGCATGAGTGGTAAGAAAAATTCTTGTTCAATTGATCATTGAATGATTGGTCTTCCTAATGGTCAGTAGGTGGTGGAAAGCAAGATTGGCAGTGTGCACTTGGCTGAGGATTTTATTTTAAAAATGTTCTTTTGTAGCTCACTTGATGTGTAACTTCATCTCTGTTACACAATTGATTGATGATTCTAAATATGTCATGCGATTTAATGATAATTTGTGTGTTATACAGGACCAACTCTCGGGGAACCTGATTGGAGCCGGTGAGAGATGGGGTGGACTTTACTACTTTCACGGCATTCCTAAAGCTCAGATGAACACGGTTTCTGGCATTGGGAATTTTGATTTGTGGCACCAGAGATTGGGGCATCCTTCAGATAGAGTTCTCAAGTTAGTTCCAGTTGTTAGTAGTAATTGTGATCGCAAAAGCTTAAATAAAATGTGCATTACTTGTCCAGTTGCCAAGAAAACACATGCTAGTTTTCCTATTAGTGAGAATAAAGCAACTCGTATTTGTGAACTCATACATTGCAATTTGTGGGGACCTAATCGTGTTCCTTCGTCCCGTGATGCAATTGAGTACTCATCAAATAATGTGTGTTAGCTTTGTGGCTTTTGACTATCATGTCGTCCACATATGCTTCCATGGTTCTACCGAGCACTGATTTGAAAACTCTGGCCACCATGCGAGTGTAGGTGTCTCCCGAGTTCTTGAGCCCAAACGCCATGACCAGTTAATCGAATATGCCTTATGGAGTCATGAACGCCGTTTTCTGGGCATCAAACTCATGCATGAAGATCTGGTGATAGCCCTAAAGGCGTCCAGGAAGCTCATGAGCTCGCAGCCGGCCGTCTCATCGACTAGTTGATCGATGTTAGGTAGTGGGAATGGATCCCATAGGGCAAGCTTTATTGAGGTCGGTATAATCGACGCACATGTGGAAGGTTGGTGGCTTAGGTGCTAGGACACCATTCGCCATCCATTCCGGGTATTCAACTTCGGCGATGTGATTTATGCTGAGGAGCATAGTCACTTCAGCCTTGACGAACTCCCGCCTGTCCGTGGATAGGTACCGCTTACGCTGTTTGACAGGCATCACGTTGGGATCCACAGTTAGCTTATGCGTGATTATATCACGACTTATGCCTGACATTTCATTTGGACCGACGGCGAAGATGAATCTTTATTTGACAAGAACAGAAATAATTGCTTGCCTGAGTCCTGGTTTCAGATATGCCCTGATTTGAATAGATTTTTCTGGATTGGCCTCGTCCAGGATGACTGTCTCTAGTGCATCCACAGGTTCGGCTCTAGGAGTTTCCTCCTCTTTAAGAGCAGCCTGGGAAATGGTGTTGATGTGCATGTCCTTGACAACCATCCTTTTGGTCATTTTCATGTAGCAGGAGTAACCAACCCCAGTCTTGGTTTGGAACTTCATATAGAGGTGTTTGAGGGAAACTATTGCCTCCACGTCCTCCATGGCCGGTCTACCCAGAATTACGTTGTACGCACACTCGAGTCACACCACCACGAACTCCACGAGGATTTTTATGTGGTGAGATCAATCCCCGAATTGCACTGTGAGCTCTATAGTGCCCTCGGCCTCTATAGAGTCCCCAGTGAATCCGGAGAGGGAAGTTCAGATAAAGCTCCAGCTCATGGAGCGTCTTCATGTACATTATGTTGATGGAGGACCCGGTGTCAACATAAGCCCGATGATGATCGCTGCACTCACTTCACATTTAACCACCAGAGCATCCCTATGATGAGAGGGGAAGTCTGGTAGGTCGCAGTCGGTGAATGGGATGACATCTGACCTTGCTCTTTTGGGAGCAGATGGCGGGGGGGTTTGTGATCTCCCCCACGTAGAGTTTATTGTTCCTTTTTTCCCTCTAGGTGGCCGTGTCTCCACCCGTATTCCCTCCGACGATCATCCAGAGCTCACGTCGGCGCCGCTAACTACGCCTATAATCCTCGACCGAATCCTCGTCGGAGATAATCTAATGTTCTTCTTCCTCGGGGAGCGGTCATGCTCCCGCTCGTCATCCATATTCCTGCACTCATAATTGCGCTTCTGGCCAGTCTCCGTCCTGCTGACAAACTGGGTCAAGTATCCATGATTGATGAGCTTTTCGATCTCAAGTTTCAGATTCTGGCAATCATCTGTCTTGTGACTGTGGAACCTGTGGAATTTACAGTAAGGGCCAGTTTTGTCCACAGCCTGAACGTCGTTGACTCGCGGATCGTGAACTACTAACCCGTCCTGATCATCGACCTCTAGAATGTGGCTGACAGTATGGGTCAACGGGGTCAGGACCTCTGGTGGCATGAGCTTTGGAGCAGACCAGTGGCGCCTTCATTTATAGTTGCCCCTACCCCAATTTTTGTCACCCTCTTCGCGAGGTCGCTCTTCGCGCTCTTGCTTTTTTTTTCCTACTGCTTGGGCTCCTGTTTCTGGGGCTTCACAGCATTTTCCTATGCCTTCTTGCGGTTGTGCACCTCCTCCACCAGGGCGTAATTCTGCCCTCGGTGGAGTGCCCGCTGATAATCCCTTGGGGGATCTATGATTAGGCTCCTGGAGAAACCACCTGTCTAGAGAACCATCTGCAGCACGATGAAGCGGGTATTGTCATCCGCGCCATAGACCTTGGAGGCCTCTTCATTCCACCTCTGGAGAAACTTGCTCAGGAATTCGTCTCAGCTTTGCTTAACAGAGAGCAGGTGTGAGGAAGCGTGTGGCCAGCTCCCGCCATGAGTCGATGGACTCATCTGGCAGGCCGTTGTTTGAGGAGGTGGTGCCGGTGCTCCTATGGCCGATGCAGTCCGCACTTTGTTCACTTGTTGAGTGAGAATGCGGATCTACTCCTCTCTAGGGTCCACCTTGCAATGGCACCGTGGTGGAGACTCCATCTGGCTCCTTGGCGGTGTGAGCCGCGGCTGGCGTAGGGGTTGTTGTTGTTGTTGTTGTTGTTTTTGGCGCAGTGGTGAGATCCATTGTTGCCTTGGGGAAGAAGGAAGTTGTTGGTGGCGTGGGGGGGGGGGGGGGGGAGCGAATATGGGGGAATGATTGCCCCCTAGCCTCTCCAAAGCGGGTACGCGCTCTGGAGTCCTTCTCCCTTGTTGTTGCGGCTGCTATTGGCGCCGCCGAGGAACATTCAGGACTGGGGAGTTCGCATTGTCCACCCCCAAAGGTTGACAGATAGGCACTAGTTCGCCGTAGATCTGTCACCCAAACTGCTGAAGATGGGACGCCTTCCCACTTCAACCCAAGGATTTGGGTTGTTGTCTAGTTGCTACCCCTGCGGGGCGTAGGACTATGAGGAGTCCTCTTTGGTGATGGCGTAGAAGCCTTCATCATTGTGGCAGCCGTAGTCCATACGGCATGCTATGTACTTTGGTGGCAGCACATGGGGTGGTGGTGGGGCCACAAATTGTTGTGCTGCGACAGGGCGAGAAATTCCCACCTGCTGTGCTAGAGGTGCATCATTCATAAGTGCACTAGAAGCCACCTAACGAATCGGGGGAGGGGGGTCGTCCCTGGGGTCGCCCTCTGGCGTGGTGGAGACTCATAGACCATCTCTGATGGCCTGTCCATTACCCAAGGGCCTCAATGGAGCCCACTCTCAGAGACCGGGACCTGGAGGCCGCCGGGGAGATGGGCCTTGTGGCATCATTAGCCACAATTGTCGCTGTTTGGGATCACAGCGTGGGCAGCACTTGCTGCAATCCAGTGATGAGGGCGCCAACCGCCGCACAGGGATCCACCATCAGAAAATTCCAGAATTCCGGGATCACCTGAGCGGACGGCATTACAGCTGCATCGCTATTCTGAGAAATCTGCTAGCAGAGATCAGGGGAGTTGCGATGGATCCGGTCGTGCAGATCCCCACATGTTCGGGCAGCCTGTTTGCCTTAGGCAGCTCTTCTGGCACTAGAGGTAGCAGTAGCCTCCATGGAAGGTTCAGGTTGAGCGACGAAGGCAGTAGCACGTCTGTTTCTCATCATTCTCTTTCCTCCAGCCATTGTTGTAGAAGAAAACTTGTTGTAGATCTTAGAAAAGGGGAGGATTTGACTTGATTCACCGTTCAACTCTAAACGAGAGCACCAAAATGATGAATCGACGACCTGGGGGTAGCTGGAATCCGAGTAAAATAAGTAGAGGAGTTGATCGGAACCCTAGAACTATTCATATGTGTGACTTATTGTTAGTACCCAATTTTGATAGATTTTGATGATGCCGCTATACTTAACACGTGTACATTGTGTCTCAGTTTTATTCTCGTATTAACACTCAAAAATGTGACAAAGATAAATGTACAATTTTTGAGACTAATGAAATACTACCGGAAAAATAAAAATGCAATAAAGGTAATTTTTATTTACCTTAATAGGATATTTTGATCCTATCGGTATATATTATTCGGTCCAAAGATTAATTAAATGTCACATTTTTATTACATACATTGAATATGTATGATTGAAGACAAATTTGACCGGTATTTAATGCCAAATACGTACCGGGGTCCGGAGCAGTGTACACATACATGGGACTGACTCCTGAAGTGAAGTTTAAGCGGCCAAATAATGCAAGACAAAGGAATCACCCGAAATCAGCTCCAACACAAGAAGACAAATGTACAAGTCGTCCTTGTCAACTTTTAACGCCAGAGATTAATTCATCCTAACCAACGGATGAGATTAATCCAAAGGAGAAGCCTATAAATATAGGCTGAAACGAAAGTTTCTAACCAAGCTTTGAGCATCCAAAGTAGAGAAAAATATCCTTCGAGCATTCAAGAGCTATCTAGCAAAAGTGAAAGTGAAAACTTAACTTTACTCTCTGCTTGGACACATGCTTCACTAAACTTCCAGTTCATAAGCTATTTATTGCTAAATTATAGAAGTTTAGTTCCTAGTTGGAGGTTAGAACTTTCTTGTAACATTTCAAACATTGTTGTAAACACTTAGGAGGACTGTTGTTCGGATCCTAAGGTGTGGATAGATAGATAGAGTACCCTTTAATCCCACTAGATTAATTGAGAAAAATCTAAGGACTGAGTAACTTTGAGTGGTGATATACTCACTGTGAAAAACCTTCAATCTAGGCCTAAATGTTGTAAAGGCTAGATTGACATTAAGTGCATTGGGCTTAATACTTTAGTGAAATCCATCTGAAAGAGGGTGAGACTGGACGTAGGAGGATTACACCACCTCTGAACCAGGATACACTGTGTGTTGATTTACATCTGTTCAACAAAGCACACACTTAGCACTTCTCACAAAAAGATTGAAGTTTGCTAGCAGAATCCTAAGCAGTTGTCTTAACTGACCAAACTGCTTATCCTACTGCTTAATTACTTACCTTATTTGAGACTATTTTCACACAAGAGACGTGCATCAATATCACTAAAAGGCCTGTTCTATCAGTTTCCAGAAATTCATTTTCTAAGTATAGCAGGTGCCTCAGCAGTTTTCTGGTGATCACCCAACTGTTGAGCCCTCTGCTCATATACACTTGTTTCCCTTGAACATCTCAACATCACCAGACTCTCATAAAATCATCAATAA